GTTTCCTTTTTGTTTTTGACATGTTTCTCTGTCACAAAATCATCCACTGGAGTCAGGGCCATCACCGCTGCTAGGCAAACTTGGCAGCTGCCTACGGCATAGCCTCGACCAGCGGCTTCCTCAGCCACAACATAGAGAGGAGGGTTTCCTCAGTTCCTTGTGGCTGGTCACATGTTTTGATTTGCAGCTTCAAGGAACTGTGCCTGCCTGATGAGGATGCAGTGACACCTGCACTTTAAATTTGTAAATGGAAGCTGCTGCCTAAGGTCCCGCGCTTGGTGGGGACTGTGAGCCATGTGGCGCCTGTTTACAGCGCTGGCCCGTACATCTCCTCCTCCTTTTTGGGGAACCACGCCACCCGCACCCGCTCCCAAGACCCTCCGGATCCCTGGTGAGACCCCCCACAGCCCTGGTGGACCCCGCACAGCCTCCATGAGACCCCGCAAAGCCCTGGTGAGACCCAGCACAGCCCACGTGAGACCCTACACAGCTCTCCTGAGATCTTGGAGATGTCAGGCCACTACCCCAGAGAAACACAGAGTATGTAGTTTCATATTATTCTGCAATGCTGTATAAAATATTGCTGTGATTTGTAGTCCCTCTACAGCTTGGGCTCAGTGGCAGATCTACGGCATAGCTTAGTTAAAATGTCAGTGTTGATTCACTTGCTGTATGTACTGATATTGAGCTGCAATCCATATTTTCCCATATAAAAAAAGCCCTCCTGAGACCCTCTGCCGGAGACATTAGGCCCAGGGGGCCCACTAGTATATTTTTTGCCCAGAACCCACCAAAGCCTTGAATCGACCCTAGCGGCGGGTATAAGCCGTACTTCTTTGTTTTCGTATATCGAGTTACATAAAGGCTCAGCAATGCCCATGTGGCAAAAACCCTGCGGCTTCTTCTTCCATGACCTCTCTAGGTGGGGATTGCCAGCTCAGAAACTGGATGTGATGAAATCAGTATCAATTCTGGTTTCATTCAGGGAGGAGGAGATCAGTGAATGGACATTCATTGGTCTCTCTAAATGCTGACACCTGCGATGCTGCCTCCAGCACCTGGCTCACGGGCTGTTCCGGCCCCTGGAAGTGATCAGACAGCTTTATAAACACCCAAATTGCTTCAAGTGTAAAGCCAACAGTTGGCTTTACACAAGTAAACCGACTCCCGGCGGCTATCTGTTTTATAGGAGCCATCTGCTGCCGACGTATGACAAACGGTGGCAGCAGAAGAGTTAAAAGCAAATTTTACTTTTTTAGATTTGTTTTATGTTCCTCCCAAAATTAAACCCCCCCCCTCCCCCCATCACCACCACTACCCCTACTTACGCGAATCACGGTTCTTCTCACAATCCTTTGACGGAATCTGTGAATAGAGAAACAATAAAGGAAGAAGAATCTGCCGGAGCCAGAGCATTGCACCTGTGATCCACTGATCGTGGTTGCAAAGCTTTACTGGCTACAATGCAAAAAAAAATGCATGTTTTTTAAGTTTTTTTCATTCAGAAAGAAGTATGCATTTATTGTTTTAAAAAAAGGGGAATTATCCTCTCATGAGAAATGAAGGAATAATTGTGACACCACTACCAAAAAAGATTGCATAGAGTAGCTTACCAGATTCACTGATACTACTAACAAAAGTGAGGCAGCATATATGTAACATTAATTTCAGATGACCACACTCTCTGGTCAACTCCTATCTGGCTATCACAGGAGATTTCACTTGCCCAGGGTAGAAGCACATTCAAATCCAAAGGGGGAATTCAAAAAGTGCCACATTGTGCAGATCAATAAGTTTGTTTTAATAAAATGCAATAAAGCAATTCACCTGTAAGTATGTGTAGTAGGGATGCACCAATACCAATACCAGTATCGGTGCTGATATTGGGGATTTTCACGAGTACTCGTGTAAATGCCCTGATACTAAAGGCACTTTAAATTTTTAAACAAATTTGGCTGCCCTAAGATCCTGTGCTTGCTGGGGACCTCAGGGCAGCCTGCTGGGGACCTCACAGCACCTGTTTACAGCGCCGGTCCAGTGCTTCCTCCTTCCTGCCACCCGCACCCCCTCGAACAGCCATGGGGAGACCCAGCACAGCCATGGTGAGACCGCTCCCACCCGCAAAGCCCTGCTGAGACCCACCCGCACAGCCCTGCTGAGACACGCACACAGCCCTGGTGACACTAAACAGCCATGGTGACACCGCACAGCCATGGTCAGACCCTCATGAAGCCCTGGTGACACTGCACAGCCATGCTGAGACCAACACGCAGCCCTGGTGACACTGCACAGCCATGGGGATACCCGCACGGAGCCCTGGTGACACTGCACAGCCATGGTGACACTACACAGCTATGCTGAGACCCGCACACAAATATAGCAATAAAGCCCTCTCAGTAGCGGAGATACCTCAGACAAAGAGCCAAGGCATTCATAATGAAAAAAATAGGTTACAATTACCGGGATCACTATTTAAACCTTTTTAACTATTTATTTGGATGCGGTGTTGCAATTTAGAGAAAACAATTATTGTGGATGTACTGTATGTCTTAATACACCTATATAATTAAAGGTGATTTTTTTCATTATGAATGTGTTGGCTCTTTGTCTGAGGTATATCCGCGACTGAGAGGGTTTTATTGCTGTATTGTTGTGTTGGGAGTTGTATAAGCCGTAGACAAAGCGCAGCAGGCAAATATTTATTCTTGATTAAATTAACAATTGTATTCTGAGCTGTTTTGACCCTCTGCGCTTGCCATATGCCCTCTTTTATTTGGATAGTGAGACCCTCACACAGCCTTGGTGAGACCTGCACACAGCCATGGTGAGACAGCACAGCCATGGTGACACCGCACAACCATGGTGAGACCCGCACACAGCCCTGGTGAGATCACATTGCCCTGGTTTCACCGCACAGCTCTGGTGACAACGCACAGCCATGGTGAGAGCATGCACATCTTTGCACAGCACAGCTGATGATATTCTGCATTGTATAAAGTATTGCTGAGATTTGTATTCCTCTATCACTGTTGGTATTCTGCATTGTTGTATAATGTATTGCTGGGATCTGATCCTCTTTCGCTGACGGTATTCTGCATTGCTGTATAATGTGTTGCTGAGATTTGTAGCCCCTCTATAGCTTGCAAAGCAGTAAAAATGGTCATCAGCACTGCAACTTTTCTTCAAAACGAAATTATTTTATTCATTCTTGCAGGTCATATCACCATGCTCTTCCCTACATGTTTCGGCCAAGAGGCCATCGTCAGGGGCAACAACTGGCTGCTTAGTGTCTGAGAGGAGGAGAAGAAGAGGAAGGCTTTTCACTCAACTACCTCCTGAGCATGTAGTGTCTGTGTAGTGTCTGTGTAGTATGGTTCCTCTGAGATATAAAAGTCAGATGTGCCCTGTCACTAGATGGTGCGGGCCAAACAATGCTGTGTCCGGCAGAACCTGCTTGCTCCCTACTACCTACACATTCAGAACATCTGTCTCTCACTTTAGGCCTGCCTAACAGTTTTAATAAAGGAGATAACCTATATTTAATGTATTCTATGACAATAGGGTGGATACCCTGATTCCCTGAAAATAAGACCTACCCCGAAAATAAGACCTACCGGTAGTACTATTTTTGTGAATTGCTAAAATATAGGACCTTCCCCCGAAAATAAGACCTAGTTGTGACCATTGCCAGGGCTGATGGTGGCATAAGGGGGAACTTGAAGAGCCGCGGGAGAGAATCAGCGGTGCCAATGAATGGAAAGGTATGGCACCCCTGATTGCCCTGATCACACTATTCTTAACTTTGCCATTTTGGATTATTTAATTTAGATTTCCATTTACTTTGGATCGTTATATATTAAAAAAGAAAAATAAGACCTACCCCGAAAATAAGACCTAGTGTGTTTTTTTGAGCCAAAAAAAATATAAGATAGTGTCTTATTTCCGGGAAACACGGTATACATGTGGTGTTTTGATACACACTGCTTTACCGCACAAGTATGCATTGACATGCTGCAAACAGAGGGCAACTTTAACTGTGTCAGCCACAAGTGTATGCTGCATACCATGAAATAGAAGACGGGCATCAAGGTCATACGCCTAGTGTGCTTGAATAGTATTAACAAAAAGCGGGGGTCGCACCATTTTTTTTTCTTAATTCTTTATTTAAGATGACACATATTATACAAAATGCAGACAATTTAAACAGATTGTTGCAATAGGTCAACTTCCAATCCAGTAACATCTCTCATAATACAATTTTAGCATGGGTACCTAAAGATGTACAGAATAATGACAAATAACAAATGCAGTAGAGGAAGGTCTCCCCACCCCAACTGGGACTTAGTCGTGACTGGCGGCTGCAGTATTAGAAGTCAGGAACGAGTTCCATTCCTCTAAATTGGATTTGTGGCATGTCTCCAAATCCAGGCTTATGAAGGCTGATTATTACTGAACGTTTGTGAGTACATTTACTTTTTACCCTATTAATAAATGGTTTAAACTTTAACGCTCTGATTTGTATATTCTAGTACCAATAAAAGTACTCGTCTTTACTAGAGGAAGACAGAAAGGAGGAAGGGAAGTGAGAAAAGGGGGTAGGAGGGAGGCTGGACCTATGTATGGAGACGAGGCAAGATTAATAATGGAGAGCTCAACAATCACTAGTGTTTATCAATGAATGGAATCCTGGCACTCACTTAAAATGAATGGTAGATTTAGGGTAAGTGCCATTGCAATTATCGCTATGCATTGCATGCTACTTTTTAAATAAACCAAATAGCATGAAATGTTGTTTTCTAACTAAAGTGGGAATACCTTTGTTTAACACCATCTGATGCATCAGGTCAATTATCCTCAAATAACACATTTGTTCCATCAGTTTATTTCACATGCTATTTCATTTGACAAAATGTAAGCCATGTACGGTTTCCTATCTATTAAATAGTGGACCTAACATGTATAAACTTTCCTGTGATCACATTTTTCTTCTATTCCAACAGATTTTCCAGGGTCCATGCCAGATGCTAAATGGGAAGGTAATCTCAGAGCGATAAAGTGGAGTGATGACAGTAGCCACGACGGTTGCCACGGTAATAGGGTCTCATTGTTTTTACTCTAGTATGAAAGTCATAGATAACAGGACATATGATCCACACAGCAGAATAGGATCTAAGAGCTCCAAAAGGTGGAGCAGCTTGTTCTTTTTGAAATGCCTATTTAAAATTTCAACTGCTGGTGTCTTCAGCTTTCACTTACAGTACAATGATGACAGATTACAGCTTTCTGTTGATCCAAAACATCAGTACAATGAAGTATATATTTTTTCTTTAATAAAGATACGGTTATAAAGTGAACCTACCTAAAGATAGATAGATAGATAGATAGATAGATAGATAGATAGATAGATAGATAGATAGATAGATAGATAGATAGATAGATAGATTTTTTATACACCTTCAAATAAATATAACATTTTGGTCAATAAGAATTTGATATAGCTGTGGGATTTGTTTTTCAGATGATTTTATAAATATAAAATTAAAATAAAATTGATCCAGAACTCAGAACTTTCATTGGCTGTACATGTCTGCATGAATAATTCTTTACATTTCACAATATACAGCAACAGTTTAATTTTAAAAAAATCTATTAATTTTATTATTAAAATTCAGTATTTGAGCTCCAGTCATGTGGCATTGCCTAATAGGTGATATTATTATGTTAAAGGAGAACTATGAGGTAAGTGCTTTTCACTCACCTTATAGTTCTAGCCGACCTGTGATAATGAGACTGTCACAGGTCGGCTCAGTAGATCAGGAGGTGAGCGAACACATACCGGCGTTCGCTCACCTCTCCATCCTGTCACGGCTTTCTGCCGTGACAGGGGAGGGGCTGGATTCTCCCCTCCCAGCTCATATTCGCCAGCACTGACTGGCGGAACGGACGGGGGAGGGGGCTGGTACAGCTGGCTCTGCCTCTAGATAGGCAGAGCCAGCTGTCAGTCACGCAGCTGGGCGGATCCCGGCGGTGTCACTAGTTTGTTCCTCCCGTTACCCTAAGGAGAACTATGGGGAAAAGCCTTAACCCCATAGTTCTCCTTTAAATCTGCTGCAGGCAGGAGGATGATCTTTGGCGCCAGTGACATTGTTGAAAGATCCTAAATAGTGTCTGAACAAAAATGGTGCCATTGGTCTGAAAGAGGAGAGCTGCTCACTTTGGCAGCTTAGTGAACAATCCCCATAGTGTACACAGTGGTATAGACTTTCCAAGTAACAGCACTGATTGGCTCAGTGCTGCACCATGGAATAAGTCATATGCTGCATGAGGCCAGGGGAGTTGTGGGGAGGTGTAGCCAGAGCAGTCCTAGGTTGCTAAGAGAAAGGGTGCAGCAGGTGTGCCTCCACATGACCCATTGAGATGGTGCCTGGGGCAACTGTGTTCAGGCTGCCTCAAAGGAATGGCCCTGCATATGCTCCTCCATATGCAGAAGCTGATTTTTCCTTACGCTCCTGATGCTGATTAATGGGGAGTGAAGAAAAGAAAAATATGGAGGTGTATTTTTCATCTAGACATAGCTAGTGTAGCAATTGACTCCATTGCTTTTTGTTGGCAACCTGGTGATCTGAAAAGCCCTGACTGTCATGTAGGAGCTATTCCTATACACATGTCCTGCAGGTTTTTTTCTTCCTCCTGCTAATCAGATTTACATTTTCCTTGGATGTAGGAATGTAATTGGTGGTACAAGACTCAAAGAAATAAGAAATCAAACAGCACTGTCTTCAGATGGTACATTCCCAGCAACTGTGCGCGGTACTCTCTGAATTATTGGGGAAGTGGCATAAAGAACTCAGACTTAAGGTGCCCATACACTGCTCGATTCTCGTACGAATCAGGGGGGGCGGGCTTGCGATGATCGAGAGTACGATCTGCCTGTCCAAGATGGGCAGATCGTACGTTTTTTTAATTACTTTACAACCTTTGCAAGACTTAGGTCTTGTGATGGTTGTAAAGTGTATGGCCACCTATAGGTAAACTGAGTAGATTTTCTGACTTTAGTACAGCTGCTGTTTGTTGGATAGAAGTAGTAACTCATTAAATAGTTTTTACTGGAATAGGTCTTTAAATGGGATACAGAATACACTCATTCACAGTATTTTTACTGCTTGTGTACAGAATGTTCTTAGAAGTTGTAGTAACAATTTTTTCCCTTTTCAGGCCATTATTCCAGACAAGTTTGTATATACAGTACAGGAGATTTAGAGTGGCTCTTCAACTCAACAAGTCTATTTGCCAACAAGCTTGAATTGACAAGCTATCCACCTACACTGGAGTGCCTGGACCTGAGACTACGGCACAGGACTTTGGCTGAATCTAAAACCAGATTACAGGATCATTGGTTATTTTAATAACTATGTACTCATAAGAACATAACATAAAGACTATCACTTTAAAAAGCATCAAAACCTTTTAAAAAAACCAAACAAACAAACAAAAAAAGATATTTGTAAAAAATAGCTGTCTATTTTAATTAAAAAATTTACATTTTTTTTAATTATTAAAAAAATAAGAACAAACATACCAAATAGTATCAACAAGCATTTTCTCACACATCAAAGTAAACATTTTAGAATTGAAAGGTTTACTTAAAGCTGAACTCCAGGCAAACAAACAGATGAAATACATATACAATAATGCAACTGTTGTAAAAATTATGTGTATTTCTGTCCATCCAGTCATGAAATTTACACAGCTACCTCCCACAGCAAAGACTTGACTGGCAGGGCAGGAGACCTGACTTTAATCTACAGCAGTTAAAGCAGAACCCCTGGGGAAATTAAAATCTTAACCCTTGCAGTGGGGCTACACCCGCACTGCAAGGGCTAAGTGCTTGTTTTGAACTAGAGAGCTAAAAACACAGAGATATACTCACCTGAACCACGATCCCAGCTTTCTCTTAGACCGGTCCCTTCAGCCTCTCTCCCCCTCCACTCCAGCAGCCTAAGATCCTGTGAGCCATCACATTCTATGTATAGGACGTGAGGATGCCTGGGGACATATCGCTGGAGCAGTGGGGGGAGACAGGCTGGAGAGAGCGGTGAAGGAGCCAGCTGGGATCGTGGTTCAGGTGAATATAAGTTTGTTATTTTAGCTTCCTGGGCAAAACAAGCACTTAACCCTTGCAGTGCAGGGGTAGCCCTAGCGGCATCTCCCTTGTTAGGACATAAACAATGCAGCACACCCAACTGGCTCTTTGTGCTGCTTCTCCCTCCCCAAGTCTATATTCTGGTGTAGAATGGACTGCAAGAGGATGATACCAAGTCCAGTTCAGGTATAGTGTTCATTACAAAAAAATATCATGATGTAAATAAAGAGTTGCATTAATGTGTGTCTTTTATGGAGTTTAGCTTCATTAATAATACAAAGCAAAGATGATGTGTATGAAAATGCATTGTCTAAAAACAACTGCAAAATAATACAATTTCGTATTGCTGGAGTTAGAGCAGTGAAGCAAGTAATTGGTTGTTTTGGGTTACTGCATATTAAACACTGTTCTTTTCCATTATAGGTTTGCAACAGTTTTAGATTTATAAAAATAACTATTGGAAGTAATGAGTGATAAATCCGAAGGAAAAAGATACCTGAATGACAACTGATATAGAATAAAAGACAAAAAAAAAGCTGGTATGATCTATGATAGATTTATAAGCAATTGTTTCAGACATACAAACATGGAATACATGCCTTGTTGTCAACTTCATTTGTAACAGAAAGAAATCTTCAAATCAGGGCACAGATACAGGCCTCTGTGCTTCATGGCCTATTCACAACACTGCACTGCAGTAACATTACGTGCATTGGTGTGCTGCGGTGCCATTCATTGTAAATGGTACCCCAATGCACTTTCACAATGATCCTGTGTTGTAGCACACCACAACTCATGGTAATGCACTGCGGTGCGTTGCACTGTGCTGAGATAGCAAAAATGTAGCAGGTCCAATTTTCATTCCGTTGTAATGCGTTAGGCAGCACATTCAAATGAATGGCCTTAATATGCGTGCATTACATTCACACCGCAAAGGTACTGCTATTGTGTGAATAGGCCCTCAGTGCTTTGATATTGTTTTATTGTAATCTTATAAACTACTTTTCATCTTAGAAGCTTGTTAGTTGTCATCAGTGCTGAGGACCCCTGGCATCCAGGGAGATGCCAAATTGTGCCAAAGGGGGTTTTTGCGGCAGTATATTAGGGTGATTTTGCAATAATGAGCATGATAAAGTAAAGCCAGAATATAATTAAAGTTATGTTAGCCAAAATTTGTGCTCCCATCTGGTAACTTGGCTTATAATTTATCCAAAGTGTTATTCTACAATTTGTACCTTTTTATAAACGGTTAAACCAAGAGTTTATAAGAGGTCACGTATATATTTATTTATTTATTTATGAATGTATTTATTTCTAATGTACTCACAACACCAGTGTAAAAAACAAATCTGAAACCACAGTCTTTATTCATAAATGAGTGAAGAGCAGGACTCAGCTGTCACACAGGACAGCCAAACCCTACTAAATACACTGGCTGAGCAGCTCTCCCAGTGTAAATAGTGGCAGTTTGATAGTGCGTCCGCTGTGCTCTGTGTATCAGGATCGTTGTCACCAGAGCTATGCTGGTTACACTGGGAGGCTCTCCTGCTTTTGTGTCAGCCTGGTCCTGCTTGTCATATGTTAGATTCACAAACAAACATATGCACACTCTAAGGGGTATATTTTCAAAACTGGTGCATCTACTCCTTTTTGCTATGTCAGATTTGTTGCATGCAGGCTGGAATCTCTACAGCAAGGAAAAAGCAAGTTTGCTACAACCCACTATGCTGCTGGCAGGCTGCATACCCTACAATATTTGAAGTGCTTTGAGGGATCCGCCCAGATCGGGGAAACCCCGCCCAAAAAACCATGAGTGATTGCTGAGTTTAAAAACCCCTTGTTTACACCAAAATGCCCTTGACGGGATCTCCTCTCGGGTGCCAGGGGTGTCTCTCGGGTGCAAGGGGTGTCTGAGTCTAATGCCCATCACTCATGGTTTTTTGGTCGGGGTTTCCCCAATCTGGGCGGATCCCTCTGAAAGCACTTCAAATATTGTAGGGTATGCAGCCTGGCAGCAGCATAGTGGGTTGTAGCAAACTTGCTTTTTACAAATATTTCCACCAATGTCTAAAATGTCCACTGCCAGATCTCCTCTTTAGCTGCTCCAACCAGGATACTGTAGCTAATAGAGGAGCAAACGCTTTGCTTTTCATATTTCAACGCCTCATGCTGAGATTTGAGGGGGGCCAGCAAACTCCCTGAAGTTGCCTTGTTTGGTAAAAAAAAATAATAATAGGTGATTAGGAGGGGTACTAAGTTTTCCAGGCTATCATTCTGGGCTGACACTTTTTTAATAGAAAAAAAGGGAACAAAACTTTCATTCATCAAAATACAATAATTTAATACTCCAGAAAGTTATGTGCAAAGTAAAGGTTTTCTGGAATGCAGAAAATGTGAAATTCTTTAGGATATAAGCTGGGTGAATGTTACAGTCAGCACCACTCCATAAAGAACATGTTAAAAAAGTGTATTATCTGACAAATGTTCACAGTAAATTTGTTTAATAAATGTTGCGAATGATTTTCCAGCAAAGTGTGATAAATGTGTGGCAAATGTATTTATAAATATGTAGTTACTTCATTCTGTCTCTTTATGTATTTTTTACAAGATGCATTTATTTCTTAAACTGCAACATCTGACATTTGAATCAACTCATATTTCACAACATGACTACAACAAAAATTTAGCAGGGAATCATATTTTGGACAGGCATGTTGGTGTGCTCTCCAATGCCCTGTTGACCTAGACCTAGCCTAAAGAGCCTAGGTTTTTCTTGTGGTGCCAAGAATGAACAATGATACTGGTATTCAGGCCGACAGATTATAATGGGTCTCCAATTCAGAGCCAAAGGAAATCTCACCGCTCCAATTCCTTAGCCGCCTCTGGACTCCCCGGGTGCTGGTCTAATAGGTGAGTCTCCAACTTGGAATGTAGTAGTATACGAACACACCACACTACCCAGAGAATTCCAATACTTCAGACTTTATTGAAATGCACAGCAAATCCAGTATAACAGTGAATTAAAGTGTATAAAGCAGAAAATACCAGCTACAACCTTACACATGTTTCACCCGCAGGCTTATTCATAGAGGGTCTCCATTTCAGTCCAAGTAGTCACAAAATCCTGCCTTTTCTGGTAGCTACACCCAAGCCCCAACATTCTACAGTCTGATACCAAAGCCTCTACTGACAATTGAAATGCCAGCATTAAACTGTTGGATACAAGGCACGGGGCTTAGTAGTCAGCTGGTGTTCAATTGGGCAGATGTCAAGCCAGGTATTCTGCCTGGACAAGAAGTGAAGGAAAATCTTCCTAATGGGTTTACTGAATGAAATAAATGCCTGACAGTTTTCTTTATATGCAGTTAGCATAATGAAATTGGCCCATTTCATTGTGCTAATTGCATATAAAGAAGTCAACTGCTACCCTCAAAACAGGCTTGGGAAAGGGGCTGAGCTCCAAATTGCATTGCCTAGCAAACTCTGCTGGAAGTAATTGCCTCTCTAAGACCATCTGAGTTACTGTGGACGCCTCTCAGTGCCATCTCAGGGTGGGTCCCTGACCACAGTTAATGCTTGCCAGCTGTTATTCCATCTTAGAGCTCCACCATCAGCTACTGATTGTTAGACTTCAAACTGCTATTGCATTCCTGATTGCCTTGTGCCTTCTGATTGTATACCTCACTGCAAGTGATTTTATCCTATTGTTTCATTAATAACTTTAATACACCTGTGCACTTCTATTCTTCTCTCTCTCTGCTAAAAACATTGTTTTGAGCAGGGGTGGGCAACTCTGACCCTCCAGCTGTTGTGTAACTACAAGTCTCATGAGTCATTGCAATACTGACAGTTACAGGCATGACTCCCAGAGGCAGAGGTTTGTTGGGATTTGTACTTAAAGCACAGCTGAAGGGCTAGAGTTGCCCACCTCTGGTCTAGGCTTTAAGATGAAGTACACATGACAGCATGGCTGAACGACAGAATATTCATAAACGTTTGCATGGCAAAATATATTCAGTTTGTTAACAATAGGTAATTCTATATTTGCAAGTTTCCTCTACCGTCTACTACTGTGACTAATGCTGTACTACACTCCAGACTTGCACTGTCAAGGTGTGTTCCTTTTTGAAAAATAATAGGCTGGAATGTATTCATAATGCTAATGTATACTTTTTCACATGCTGTCTTCATTAAAGAATATCATTGCTTCACATGATATGATATAGTTACAGTTACACCCTTGAAAACAAAAGTATTTGCTACTTGTATGTCAGAACTCTACCTGCAGGTTATATTTACTGAGAA